CTGGAAGATTTTCCAGACAGTGGTCAATTTTTAACAGCTGTTCCTGGAATTGCTGGGATGTTGCATCGGAGGCTTGTAGACTACCACAATGACTAGGTTTTGGTTCTCGACCTTTACTGCTAAAACTTCCACTACGTCATTTGAGGCATTAAGCAGTTCTGTGCAAACAAGTGACTCTGCAATGTACAGGCCAACCCCCCCCTTTTGCCTGTTCACTCTGTCACATCTGTATAGGTTGTAACCTGGGATCCATATTTCATTGTCCAAGTGATCCTTTATGTGGGTCTCAGTGAAAGCCGCGAACATTGCCTTTGCCTCTGCAAGCAGTCCACGGATGAAAGGTTATTTTGTTGTTTGTTGCTGGCTTTAGACCCTGTATATTTGCAAAGAAGAATGTTATCGGACTGGTGGTATTGTTGGTACTGGGGGGGGATTTTTTTTTCGGCATTAGTATCTGTATCTGTTGGTTTGGAGTGGAGGCCATCGACTGTGGTTCCACTCCAGGAATGACTGGATTTGGTGTACGATTTCTGCCATTTCCTGCCAGTTTTTTTTTCCTTCCTGGCACTAAAAAACCTCTCCCTCTTGAGTGGCTGTGGCTACCCAGGTTTTCCCATGGCCTGGATGTTTTGTATCTTTTTGTCCCCTTTAGATGGTATGCCTGGCAATTTAAGTTATAGCACAGTCTTTCCTGTACTGAAGAGGTACACATTTCAGGGTGAAAAAGCTTACAGGAAGGGAGTTTGCATTTTCCTGTTGTCATATGGGCATGGCATTTTCTAGGGTGGTCATAGTTGCACGTCCCATCTGTTTTTCCAGATTTCCCATGCCAGCAGATACCAAGTGCATAGTATGTGCACAGGGTGGGATGATTGGTGGGTGGACCTGGAGGGTGGGATGGTTGATGGGTGGACCTGCAGGGTGGGATGGTTGGTGGGTGGACCTGGAGGGTGGGATGGTTGGTGGGTGGACTTGCAGGGTGGGATGGTTGGTGGGCGGACCTGGAGGGTCGGATGGTTGGTGGGTGGACCTGGAGGGTGGGATGATTGGTGGGTGGACCTGGAGGGTGGGATGATTGGTGGGTGGACCTGGAGGGTGGGATGATTGGTGGGTGGACCTGCAGGGTGGGATGATTAGTGGGTGGACCTGGAGGGTGGGATGATTGGTAGGAGGACCTGGAGGGTGGGATGGTTGGTGGTGGACCTCCAGGGTGGGATGGTTGGTGGGTGAACCTGGAGGGTGGGATGATTGTGGGTGGACCTGGAGGGTGGGATGGTTGATGGGTGGACCTGGAGGGTGGGATGTTTGGTGGGAGGACCTGGAGGGTGGGATGGTTGGTGGGTGGACCTGAGGGTGGGATGATTGGGGTGGACCTGGAGGGTGGGATGGTTGGTGGGTGGACCTGGAGGGTGGGATGGTTGGTGGGTGGACCTGGAGGGTTGGGACAGTTGGTGGTGGACCTGGAGGGTGGGATGGTTGTGGGTGGACCTGCAGGGTGGGATGGTTGGTGGGTGGACCTGGAGGGTGGGACGGTTGGTGGTGACCTAGAGGGTGGATGGTTGGTGGGTGGACCTGGAGGTTGGATGGTTGATGGGGGACCTGGGGGGTGGGATGGTTGGTGGGAGGACCTGGAGGGTGGGATGGTTGGTGGGGGACCTGGAGGGTGGGATGATTGGTGGATGGACCTGGAGGGTGGGATGATTGGTGGGAGGACCTGCAGGGTGGGATGGTTGGTGAGTGGACCTGGAGGGTGGGATGGTTGGTGGGAGGACCTGAAGGGTGGGATGGTTGGTGGGTGGACCTGGAGGGTGGGATGGCTGATGGGTGGACCTGCAGGGTGGGATGGTTGGTGGGTGAACCTGGAGGGTGGGATGGTTGGTGGGTGGACCTGGAGGGTGGGATGGTTGGTAGGTTGACCTGAAGGGTGGAAGGATAGGGTGGACCTTTAGGCGGGAGGACCTGGAGGGTGGGATGATTGGTGGGCGGACCTGGAGGGTGGGATGATTGGTGGGTGGACCTGGAGGGTGGGATGGTTGGTAGGTAGACCTGAAGGGTGGAAGGATTAGTGGGTGGACCTTTAGGGCGGGAGGACCTGGAGGGTGGGATGATTGGTGGGTGAACCTGTAGGGTGGGATGATTGGTGGGAGGACCTGGAGGGTGCCATGATTGGTGGGAGGACCTGGAGGGTGGGTTGGTTAGTGGGTGGACCTGGAGGGTGGGATGATTAGGGTGGACCTGGAGGGTGGGATGATTGGTGGGTGACCTGGAGGTGGGATGGTTGAGGGTGGACCTGCAGGGTGGGATGGTTGGTTGGTGGACCTGGAGGGTGGGATGGTTGGTGGGTGGACCTGCAGGGTGGGATGGTTGGTGGGTGGACCTGGAGGGTGAGATCGTTGTTGGGAGGACCTGTAGGGTGGGATGAATGGTGGTAGGACCTATAGGGTGGGATGATTGGTGGGTGGACCTGGAGGGTGGGATAGTTGGTGGGTGGACCTGGAAGGTGGGATCGTTGGTGGGTGAACCTGGAGGGTGGGATGGTTGGTAGGTAGACCTGAAGGGTGGAAGGATTAGTGGGTGGACCTTTAGGGCGGGAGGACCTGGAGGGTGGGATGATTGTTGGGTGGATCTGGAGGGTGGGATGATTGGTGGGTGGACCTGGAGGGTGGGATGATTGGTGGGAGGACCTGGAGGGTGCCATGATTGGTGGGAGGACCTGGAGGGTGGGATGGTTGGTGGGTGAACCTGGAGGGTGGGATGGGTGGTAGTTAGACCTGAAGGGTGGAAGGATCAGTGGGTGGACCTTCAGGGCGGGAGGACCTGGAGGGTCGGATTAGTGGGTGGACCTGGAGGGTGGGATGATTGGTGGGTGGACCTGGAGGATGGGATGGCTGGTAGGTAGACCTGAAGGGTGGAACGATTAGTGGGTGGACCTTTAGGGCGGGAGGACCTGGAGGGTGGGATGATTGGTGGGTGGACCTGGAGGGTGGGATGATTGGTGGGTGGACCTGGAGGGTGGGATGATTGGTGGGAGGACCTGGAGGGTGCCATGATTGGTGGGAGGACCTGGAGGGTGGGATGGTTGGTGGGTGAACCTGGAGGGTGGGATGGTTGGTAGGTAGACGTTAAGGGTGGAAGGATTAGTGGGTGGACCTTTAGGGCGGGAGGACCTGGAGGGTGGGATGATTGGTGGGTTGACCTGGAGGGTGGGATGATTGGTGGGTGGGCCTGGAGGGTGGAATGATTGGTGGGTGGACCTGGAGGGTGGGATGATTGGTGGGAGGACCTGGAGGGTGGGATGATTGGTGGGAGGACCTGGAGGTTGGGATGGTTGGTGGATAGACCTGGAGTGTGGGATGGTTGGTAGGTAGACGTGAAGGGTGGAAGGATTAGTGGGTGGATCTTTAGGGTGGGAGGGCCTGGAGGGTGGAAGGATGGGTAGGTGAACCTTGAGGGTTGGAGGATATGGAGGGTGTCCTAGTTACTCAGTCTTGAGGGTGGGTAGGGTGTCCTAGCTAGTCATCCGTGAGGGTGGGTGGGGTGTCCTAGCTACTCAATCTTGGGGTGGGTGAGGTGTCCTACCTACTTAGTCTTGAGGGTAGGTGGGGTATCCTAGCTACCATCCTTGATGGTAAGTAGAGGTGTCTTAGCTACCATCCTTGAGGGTAGGTAGGGATGTCCTAACTACCACCCTTGAGGGTAGGTAGGGGTGTCCTACCACCCTTGAGGGTAGGAAGGGGTGTCCTAACTACCACCCTTGAGGGTAGGTAGGGGTGTCCTAACTACCACCTTTGATGGTAGGTAGGGGTGTCCTAGCCACTCAGCCTCGAGGATAAGTAAGGGATATACATAATAAACCCATTTAAAACCAATCATAAATCAACGAAAAATGTGTCATTAGAAGAAGCAGTGTGACTGGAGACGACACCCGTCCTTCCACTACCACTCGTTGAAGACTTTAACCTGATAAACCCTTAAACTGTCCAAACGTAGATTTACGTTTTTTCAACATTTGAAAGTATGTAAAAAACGTAGATCTTCTTTTGGATCACTACGCATGTGAACGTAGATCTATTTTTGGACAGTTTAAGGGTTAACACTGAAATTATCTATGCCTAATAATTTACCTATTACAGTCATACAACTCCAGTAGAGTTGTATAACTGTAATAGGTAAATTATAGATCACATACACACCACCAGAAATATTTATTGTTGAAAAGACCCCAATAGAAATAAGTCACTCCGTCTGACTTTTTTGGGTTATTCTGGGTTCTCTACATATGTGCTGCTATGTATGATAATCTATGTAACTGTATTTGTGTATACCTGAATAAACTTACTTACTTGCTTACTTACTTAAAACTGTATAAAATACCGATAAGTTGGAGAGTAAGACACATGTGCAACACTTGGGTACCTTTGATTATGGAACGTAGGGTTTTTTCAGTCAAATACAGAGGAAGCATGTATAGTAGTGACATAAAAATGATGTAATCAATCCATCATTGGAGAAAAAAGTATCTAAAGTGGTCAGTCTCTCAGCCTGGGCTGACCACCTCAAATATGAACCTTCATTGTGTCACTATAATTGTTAGTTCCCACTTATAATATAAACCACATTATTACACACATAAATTATTCGTGTTAAACTCTCACACAAAACATAAATTGCAAGTTTCAAGAATTAAGAAGTTCATAAGCATAGGCACTAGTTTTGTAATACATCGACCGTGTCCCTCAACAGCAAGGTCACTCAAAACAGGAAATCATATTCACCATCACTTTTCCACAAGCTGTCTTGCCTGAAGTGTGTCGGCATCACAATTCAAATAATTCTCCAAACTGCCTAAAATACTTTGCATTAGAAAGAGCTTTCCTTAACGTGTACAAAAGATGTAATATCAGAGCTGAATCAATACCCTGTCAGTCTTGGAAATATAACTTGACAGTGACTTAAGTAGAATTGTTTTAAACTTGCTAAAATATCATATTATATTTCAGGGTTTGTGATGGTGGCAGATGTAGAGAACCAGAAGACTCCTCTTTTGTCCTCACAAGAGAAGGAGTTGAGAGTAGATGACGTCAATAGCTTGCTGGAGAATGACAACGTCGATAAATTGCGTAAAATTTTGAATGATTGGGGAAAGCACAGTGTGTGGCAACCTGGGCATAATAACAAAGAGATGGCACTTACTGAAACGTCACTTCACGTCGCTGTCAGAAAGAAAGCCCCCAAATGTCTGCAGGCTTTACTAGATGAAAACCCACCTGAAGAAGTCCTCGATGCTCCAGATCATGATGGAGCCACGCCATTACTGGTGGCAGTGGCACAAGCACAGCCTAATCTTGCTAAGATGCTCCTTAATGCAGGAGCTCACATTAATGCCCGTAATGACAAAGGCCAGAGTGTGCTGCATATCTTGACTTATGTTACCTCAAGAGGATCTGAATCAGAAGAAACCTTGCAGGATCTGACAGATTTGCTTTTATCATGGCCAGACATTGACTTGGAGTCTCATGGATATCTCACACCACTAGCAGCAGCAGCATCAAGGTTGCCTCAGGGTGTTGGAGCTCCCAGAAGTGGTGGTCTGATTAGCCTGTGCAGGAAACTAGTGAAGGCAGGAGCTTCTCTTCAGGAAGATGGTGGGGATGGCAATATTAAAGAGGTTCTGCTACGCAAGCAGGCCCTTTCTATAGTCTTAATGGGTATTGAACAACGACCTGCCCCTAAAAGACCTGAAAAATCACAGTTCTTGGATATAATATTAATGGGGAAAAACATAAATGAAGTTAAGACATTCCTGGAAAATCTGTCATCTGAAGATGCTCTTGCTGCAGTCAATTGTCGGCTTGGAAAACAAACTCTTCTTTTTTATGCCATCGACAAAAGAAAGGAAGATTTAGCAAAAGTTTTAACCGAATTTAAAGCAAAGCCATGGGTGTTAGAAATAACAAATGAACTCCCCATTCATCGAGCTGCTTCTCGAGGCCATTGGTCTATTTTTAATCTTGTCATTAATCACATGAAGGTTGAAGATAAACCAGTTGATCTTAAAGATTACACTGTCAGTATTATCCAGAAGCTAATGGAGAGCAATAAGAAAAAGAAGGGCACTCCTCCGGAGATCAGTCATTCGAAGTGCCTGCAAAGACTAATGCAAGATGATGTTATCTTGAATCTGAACCAGGAGTGGATGGGCCAGACTGCACTTCATGTTGCCGCCTCCTTCAACAACCAGGAAGCCATGAGGGAATTTCTTTGCAAAGGAGCTTTCCTTGGTGCCCGTCAAACACTAGTAGCTCACGACCACAGCAACGTCCTAGACTCGCTTTTGCCAGCAACCTTAGAGAAAACTATGGATGGCTGCATCGTTCACCAGCCAACAAACAACGATGTTTTGGAACATGAAAATATTCTCAGTGAAGACCATATGCTAAAACTTGATTATCGGTTCCTTGTGCCTCCAACCAATGACGACAATAAGAAAGGGAAGAGTATAAATGAGACTGAAACTCTAATGGACATCAGCAGAAGTAAGCAGCACAGACATGCCATAAAACACCCACTGGTGCAAGCTCTCTTGTATGCCAAGTGGCGCAAAGTTCTGCCTCTTTACCTTCTTAATTTAGTCATTTATTTTATTTTTGTCATTATTCTTACAGCGTTTGTTTACAGTATTAAGGATTTACGCATACTTGAAACACAGATAGAGAATTATCCTATTGCTGGATTAACCTATGCAATCACTGAAGAAAGAATCAAAAACAAGCAGGTTGTTGTGACCTACCTCATGGCTTCTACTTCTCCCAGTCATAATATACATGATTATCAGAGAAGTTTTCCAGTTCCTCTTCTCCAGAGACATTTACCTCAAGAACATCGAAAATTATTTGGAATGGTTCTTAGTGGTGGTGGTAATAATGCTGTGTTCAGCGACATTTGCTTCTGATGTCACTCGTCACCTGGCTGCCTGGGCTGTCATCGTGGCTTGGTAAGTCACTCCACCAAATCACATTACCAATGCCTTTATAACATTGAAATCATTCATTTTTATGCTAACTTATAGAAAAATGTTTTATAATCTTTCATTATTAGTATTATTATTAGTGTTATTATAAAAAAAAATGTGCTGAAATTATATTCACGTACATTGTTGGCTTTCACCCAAAGGTGCAGATATAATTTCAGATCTGTAGGTTTAAAAAAAATTTACATATATCATTCTGATGGTAAATGGAACACATAACACAGTATAATGTTCACATGATGGTGTACGTAATAAAACTTTCCAACTGGTGATATTTCACAGGTATGAATTTGTGTTGATCCTCGGACGAGCTCCTGGCCTGCCATCTACGTCACAATGTTGAGACACGTCTCTTGGAACTTCCTCAAACTCATCTTCCTCTTCGGTGCTCTCATTCTAGCGTTCACCATTAGTTTTAACATCATCTTACAGCCCACTGGTGGCGATCCAGGTAAACCAAAGCATGAAACTGGTCATACAGCAGCTGGGGAATGTGAAGCACTATACTCACGTCTGGTTCAAGAAAGGGAATAATGTCACTGGTTCCTTGGATTAAATTCACTAGTATCGAATTCCTCACCCCCCCCCCTTTGTAGTGTTAAATTGTTTTGTACATTTTAATTAACGGGTAACTTAGCAATGCATTGTGTGACTGATAATTTAAAGTTATAAAGCGAGACTGCTAAATTATCCAAAATGTCTTCTTAAAAAAAACATACCATGGGCGGGGTTAGAACCCGCGATCAGAGAGTCTTTGAACTCCAGACCGACGTGTTAGCTAACGCATCGGTCTGGAGTTTAAAGACTGATCGCGGGTTCTAACCCCGCCCGTGGTATGGTTTGTTTGCAATCGTGTCATTACGATTTCGTGAGTCATGTCTTCTTAAAATTTTGAAAAGTGTAGGAAGTAACAATCAGTGTTGTACCTGGGCAAGTGGATATTATTTTGCAGCAGACATTGTATGTAACCAGACATCCATAATCATCACTGTTAGATTAAATGAATAACATTTTATTTCTGAAAGGTACACAACTGTTGCAAAAACAGTCGACGTTTATTTAATACATTATGTAAAGCCTATGTCTATGCACATTATTCAAGCACATGGTTGGTAGAATCTTCAACTCACGTTGAGGGGTCCGGGGATCGATCCCAGCACGGGTGAAATGTTGGACGTGTTTCCTAAAACCTGCTGCCCTTGTTCACCTAGCAGTAGTAGGTACCTGGGTGTTAGTCGACTGTTGTGGATCGCATCCTGGAGGACAAGATTAAGGACTCCAATGGAAATAAGGCAGCGAGTCCTCGATGACGTATTGATTTACTGGGTTAATCACAGAATGGGTGGGGGGTTGAACTCATAGCCAGGGAGCTCTAAAGCTCATAAGCCAGTGCGTTAACCAATGGACCAGCTGGCCTACGAGTTTTAGGGCTCGCTTGCCATAGGTTCGAGTCCAGCCCGTTCTGTGATTTGTTCGCAATCGTGTCATTACGATTTCATGAGTTTACTGCGTTATCATGGGTGGCTAATCCTCCGGGTTAAAAAATCCAAACAAAATCTTATCTTAAGCCCTCTGCGGCGTAGCTACAAACGTTGAAGGAAGACGCCTCCTAATTCAGAGACGGAGATCAATATTCAAAGTGTGTAGGTGAACATCTGTCAATTTTATGTGTAAAATAATGTGAAATTTTGATTCCTGTTAAATCATGTTAATTATATTAGAATCCTCCTCCTTTGAATGTCTTCAGTATTTGCTAACTGATGCATCTTACAACCAAAAGAGTACCATTAAGTTATGTTTGTGTGCGGCAAATTTGTTAACGCACTATTTTCTTTACATAAAAGTTGTAATTGTCGTTGGACCTCCCTTCTTACCTGTGCATATTCATTTCTGGCTCTGTGACTTCTCTCCTTATTCTCCTGGGTCCTTTGCCTTCTATACTTCCATTCTCTAGCGCACTTGGTTTTAGCCTCTCTACACCTTTGAGTGAACCAAGAGCTCATCCTGGCCTTCTCGTTATTTCTGTTGCCCTTGGGTACAAACCCTCTCCTCAGCTTCCTTGCATATTGTTGTCACATATTCATCTCATCTACTGACTTCCCTGCCAGTGATCTGTCCCTCTGAACCTCATGCAGAAAATTCTTCATGCCTGTGTAGTCCCTTCTCTTGTAGTTTGGCTTCATTCGTCCTGCCCTTCCTGTTTCCCTCTCCACGTATAACTCTACTATGTATTCGAAGATTAAAACCACGTGGTCACTGGCCCCGAGGGGTCTTTCATACGTGATGTCCTAATATCTGCACTACTCAAGGTGAATACTAGCTCTAGTCTTGCTGGTTCATCCTCTCCTCTCTCTTCGGCAGTGTCCCTTACGTGTTGGTACATGAGGTTTTCCAGTACCACCTCCGGCATCTTAGCCCTCCACATTTCTGGGCCCCCATGTGGCTTCAGGTTTTCCCAGTCAATTTATTTGTGATTCAAGTCACCCACAATCAGTAGCTTTGCCCTGCTCGCATGAACCTTTCTTGCCACTTCAGCCTTGTCCTCCTGCTGTTCTGTGGTGGGTTATACATCACGGCAATTACCACCTTGGGACCTCCAGACTGAAGTGTTCCTATTATGTAATCTCTTGCTTCTCCTCTGTTTCCTCTCTCCAGCTCATCAAAACCCAATTGCTTTCTGATGAGCAGTGCCACTCCTCCACCTCCCCCCCCTCTGTTCCCTCTGTCTTTCCTCAAGATCTGATATCCTGTTGGAAAGAGGGCATCTGTGTACTCACCAATTGTACTCACCTAACTGTGGTTGCAGGGGTCGATACTCAGCTCCTGGCCCCTGCCTCTTCACTGATTGCTGCTAGGTCCTCTCTCTCTCTGCTCCCTGAGCTTTGTCATACCTCATCTTAAAGCTATGTATGGTTCCTGCCTCCACTGCATCACTTGCTAGACTATTTCACTTCCCGACAACTCTATGACTGAAGAAATACTTCCTAACATCCCTATGACTCGTCTGAGTCTTCAACTTCCAACTGTGACCCATTGTTTCTGTGTCACCTCTCTGGAACAACCTAGAGTTTACCTGTCTCTGTCCAATTTATCTATTGCACGCAGTATTTTGTATGTCGTTATCATGTCTCCCCTGACCCTCCTGTCCTCCAGTGTCGTCAGGCCGATTTCCCTCAACCTTTCTTCGTAGGACATTCCCCTGAGCTCCGGACCTAACGCTGTTGCAAACCTTTGCAATTTCTCTAATTTCTTGACGTGCTTGACTATGTGTGGGTTCCAAACTGGTGCTGCATACTCCAGTATGGTCCTGACATACACAGTGTACAGTGTCTTGAACGATTCCTTACTAAGGTATCGGAATGCTATTCTCAGGTTTGCCAGGCGCCCATATGCTGCAGCAGTTATCTTGTTGATGTGTGCTTCCGGAGATGCGCTCGGTGTTATGGTCACCCCAAGATCTGTCTCCTGAGTGAAGTTTGCAGTCTTTGGCTACCTAGCCTATACTCTGTCTGCTGTCTTCTTTGCCCTTCCCCAATCTTCAAGACTTTGCATTTAGCGGGGTTTTGTGTGTGTGTGTGTGTGTGTGTGTGTGTGGTGTGTGTGTGTGTGTGTGTGTGGTGTGTGTGTGTGTGTGTGTGTGTGTGTGTGTGTGTACTCGCTTATTTGTGGTTGCAGGGGTCAAGTCACAGCTCCTAGTTCCGCCTCTTCGTTGGTCACTACTAGGTCCGCCCTCTCCCTGCTCTATGAACTTTATCGTATCTCTTCTTAAAGCTATGTGTGGAGTCTGCCACCACTATTTCACTCTACAGATTGTTCCACTTCCTGACAACTCTGAGGCTAAAGACATGCTTCCTAACATTCATATGACTCATCTGATTTTTCAACCCCCATTTGTCCCCTTGTTCCTTTGTCCCACCACTGAAACATTCTAGTCCTGTCCATCTTGTCAATTCCTCTTAGTATTTTGTACGTCCTTATCCCTCCTCTCCTCTAGCGTCATCAGGTTAAGTTCCCTTAACCTCTCTTCGTAAGACATATTCCTTAGCTCCGGGACTGGTCTTGTTGCAAACTTTTGCACTTTCTCCACTTTCTTGACTTGTTTAACCAGGTGTGGGTTCCATACTGGTGCTGCATACTCTAATATGGGCCTCATGTACACGGTGCAGTGTCGTGAATGACTCCCTAATTAAATGTCGAATTGCTATTCTCAGGTATGCGGATATTTGGTTGATGCGCGAATTAGAACATATGCTCGATACAATGCTCACCCCAAGTTCCTTCTCCTTAAGTGAAGTTTGCAACCTTTGATCTCCTAGCCTGTACTCCGTCTGCGGTCTTCTTTGCCCTTCCCCAAGCTTCATGACTGCACTTGATGATATTAAGCTCCAAAAGTCATTTGTTGGACCAGGCTTGCAGCCTGTTCAGATCCCCTTGAAATGTTACCTCATCCTCGTCCGCTTGCAGTCTTCACATTAGTTTAACATCGTCTGTGAAGAAGGACACCTCTGAACCTATCTCTTCCATCATGTCATTCACATTTGCAAGAGACAGCACTGAACCTAGGACTGACAATTATGGAACTCCAGTCGACACATTCGTCCACTCTGACATCTCATCACGTACCAGCATTCAATGTTTCCTTCCTGTCAGGTATTTCCTGATTCACTGCAGTGCTTTTCCTGTCTGCTCCTCTAGATTTTGAACCAGTCTCTTATGTTTTATTTTGTCGAAAGTCTTCTTAAAGCCCAAGAATATGCAGTCGACTTATCCTTCTCTCTCCTCTTACTTCTGTTACCTTGTCGTAGAACTTTAGTAGGTTTTTGACACAGGATTTTGCTGGTTGATATGCATGAGACTATTCTTTTCTAGATACTCCACCACTCTTCAGATAACATTCTCCGTGACTTTACGTACTATACATGCCAGAGACACTGGTCTGTAGTTTACTGCTGCCTGTCTGTTTCCTTTCTTAAAAATTGGAACTTCATGTGCTGTCTTCCACACCTCAAGCAGTTGCCCTGTTTAGATAGATTTATTGAAGATTGTGTGTGTGAGTATGCATGTGTGTGTGTGTGTGTGTGTGTGTGTGTGTGTGTGTGTGTGTGTGTGTGTGTGTGTGTGTGTGTGTGTGTGTGTGTGTGCGTGTTTGTGCTGCAACACTGTAAATCCAGCCACTGTATATATCAATTCATTTAATAAAAATTTTTTTTTTTTATCAGGACACAGACTTCCGTGACTTCTGGTCGACACTACCCAAGGCGATAGTTATGGCCACTGGAGAGTTTGAGTACTCAGATTTAAACCAACACTTTTCTCGCAAGCTGATCTTCTTGGCCTCAGCTCTGCTTATTTTCCTCCTCTTCTTGTTCCTCATCTTTCTTGTCCTCATGAACGTCATGAATGGGCTGGCAGTCACGGATACTCAGGTATATTCAATCTTCTATTATTTATGTAATGTATATTCTTATATACAGCAGAAAGTGCTCAATCTATAAGGGTCAGACAGTGCAACATAGCAAATGTGACAATGATGGGAAAGGTACCGAAGAAAAGAGAGAGAAAGGAAGAGGGGAACAGGTCAGCACAGGGTGTGATTAATTATTTATCAGGGAGAACTATGTTTAACATGAGCTGTTGTCAGGAATGGAAGCGACATCAGGAGCAATGTTGGTGTGAGCGACTTAGGTGACAAAAACACCATTAGTGCTGACGGTGGTAGTACAAGAAGTTATGACTGTAAGATGTAGGAAATTTTGAGGAATGTGGAAACGTTCCCTCTGTTTAGACCGAAAGAGGAATGTCGGGGTGTATAGGTTAGATCCGAAGAAAAGGAGGTAACCTCTAATACTTTATACTATATCAAGAGCCCTGAGGTTTTTACTGTGACAGGGGACCCTCCCTGCCCCTTAGGTTTTCACTGTGACAGGGACCCTCCCTGCCCCTTGGGTTTTCACTGTGACAAGGGACCCTCCCTGCCCCTTAGGTTTTCACTGTGACAGGGGACCATCCCTGCACCTTAGATTTTCACTGTGACAGGGGACCCTCCCTGCACCTTAGGTTTTCACTGTGACAGGGGACCCTCCCTGCACCTTAGGCTTTCACTGTGACAGGGGACCCTCCCTTCCCCTTAGGTTTTCACTGTGACAGGGACCCTCCCTTCCCCTTGGGTTTTTCACTGTGACAGGGGACCCTCACACCCTCCTTAGGCATTCACTGTGACAGGGGACCCTCCCTTCCCCTTAGGTTTCCACTGTGACAAGGGACCCTCCCACCCCCTTAGGCTTTCACTGTGACAGGGGACCCTCCCTACCCCTTAGGCTTTCACTGTGACAGGGGACCCTACCTTCCCCTTAGGCTTTCCCTGTGACATGAGACCCTACCTTCTCTTAGGCTTTCACTGTGACAGGGGACCCTCCCTTTCCCTTAGGTTTCCACTGTGACAGGGGACCCTACCTTTCCCTTAGACTTTCACTGTGACAGGGGACCCTCCCTTCCCCTTAGGCTTTCCCTGTGACAGGAGACCCTACCTTCCCTTAGGCTTTCACTGTGACAGGGGACCCTCCCTTCCCCTTAAGCTTTCACTGTGACAGGGGACCCTCCCTGCCCCTTAGGCTTTCACTGTGACAGGGGACCTTCCCTTCCCCTTAGGCTTTCACTGTGACAGGGGACTTTCCCTTCCCCTTAGGCTTTCACTGTGACAGGGGACCCTCCCTGCCCCTTAGGCATTCACTGTGACAGGGAACCTCCCTCCCCCGTTAGGCTTTCACTGTGACAGGGGACTTTCCCTTTCCCTTAGGCTTTCACTGTGGCAGGGGACCTTCCACTGTGACAGGGGACCCTCCCACCCCCCTTAAACTTTCACTGATCAACACTTTCCCATGATTAGGAAACCTGCAATAATTATTTTCATAAATAACTTACAAGGAACAGAACTCTACGGTGTATATTTATGGATGATGCTAACAACAGAGTGTAAAGTGAGTGATGGTTTAGAAAGACACGTAAGCAAACACTATAACATATTTATTAGAAAACGTTTCGGTTCTGGGACCTGTTAGAGAGACGATGTAAGGTACGCCTGTGTCCTCCACAGAGACTCCACGGGGCATTTGATGAACTGGAACGAGGCACAACTCGTTCTCACCGAACCAGACCTCAGACGCCGACGGTGCCTAGAAGCCTCACTAATCACCGTCACCGACACTATAGAACGCAACACTGGAAACTACAAAATTTCAAAAACGATGTAAGGTACGCCTGTGTCCTCCACAGAGACTCCACGGGGCATTTGATGAACTGAACGAGGCACACTTCGTTCTCACCGAACCAGACCTCGACGCCGACGGTGCCTAGAAGCCTCACTAATCACCGTCACCGACACTATAGAACGCAACACTGGAAACTACAAAATTTCAAAACATTGGCATACATGATACTTAAGGCCACACCCCAACAACACAGGGAGTCACATGATTTCATGTTACCCGTCCTCATCATGATAGAGGTTGTTTTGATAAGGACCTGCCTCGCATGGGCCAGTAGGCCTTCTACAGTGTTCCTCCATTCTAATGTTCTTATGACATTCCTCAGGTCACGTGCGTCACATCTCACTCTCCGCCTATATATATAATGTCTTTCTACCTCTGTATGTTAGAAGTGATCAAGGTCCCAGAACCGAAACGTTTTCTAATAAATATGTTATAGTGTTTGCTTACGTGTCTTTCTAAACCAACTTGTCGGTATTTATTACCAAGGTTTATACCAAAGTGAGTGATGGATGATGTAACTTAACTGAGATAACTGCCAGGTGATTGAAATGAGAGAAAGTGTTACCAGGCCACAAGAGGTATAGCGATTCAGTGATAAAATAATAATAGGCACGAGTTATCATGGACAAAAAAGACTGTCACCAGATCTCATAAAGAAAATTGTGAGAAATTCATTTACTAGTTATTTTTATTCTTGTATTATGGATCCCATACCTTCACGTAGTTGATAATGAAAACAACAGAGGCACATAATGGATCTAGGAATTGCGCTCCATCATTTGCTTAAATACATACACTGGCAAACTTTAAAATAGCCTTCAGATATATGGATATTTAGCCTAACACACGTTTCAATATACAGTGATAACCATGCATAACGTCAAATAAACGGATATGAAATTATACAGAAAACGTGTTAGCACCACCAACAAAGAGGAAGAAGCTACAGTTGTAAAATGAGAGAAAAAAAAATACCGGTGTCGAGAGCTACTAGGAAGTTTTCCTCGGAGTTGTACAACACTGGAATGTTTCACAAAGAGAAGGTAATAACTGCTACCACCGGTAAATATTTTTACCAGTTATAGAATGCGTTAAACACTGAAGATGGAACATCCTGCTACTGTTGCTACAAATAGGTCATCACATTAGCAATGAATTATCAGCTCATACTCTGCACCAGCGTCATTTAAACACATTCCTTCGTGTGGGATGTGCGTAAGGTAAACAATGAACGACTGATGGTCTGGAAAATTTAGAATTTTCCTAAATTCAGCATGTATAAATTGGAATTATATAATAATTGTATATTAAAATCCGATGCTGATTTGACCCTTCGAGAAATTTTGAGCCGGGGAATTAGATTAGAGATTTTGCCACTGAAATGGCTACTTTATTGTGCACTCCATATCCATCCTGTGGACCGTAGCGCAAGAGCATATGGATACACAAAAGGCCTAGGAACTAGGCCCCAAAGGGTTAACAGGTGTACATATGGATTTATATCTACATATCTATAGTTCACATATCTGTTACAAGCAAATTTAGGAAATTTGCTTAATATATCTGGTATCTTATTTTCATTAATAAGATATCTTGACATGTCACATAGGTTATTATACTATCTATCTCTGTATTCCTCAATACAGATAAGTGGACAATTAAGCACATAGTGTTCAAGACAGTGACCATATGCCTGATCACATAATTTACATTTAGTTTGATCATCATCTGTGTGTCTCCCAAACTGCCAGAAGTACTTGTAACCAAGCCTAAGCCTGGCCACTACAACATCAGTCTTTTCACCCGGGGAAGTGACGCAGGGGAGACGCCATTTGTAATTTGTGGGCACTGGTTGTCGTGGAAAATTCAGCTAATGATCCAGTGTCTTCGTGGCTGGAATTTGTAACAGGAACCCGTGTTAATGTCCCCACGTTGAAGAATTGGACAGGAAATTTGCAGGACCTCAAGAATTATGTGTAGATGGCAGATGAGGAATACACCATCACTCACACAGGGAATTGTGCCATCAGTCCGTTCATGTAGATCTCTAGCTGGTTAGTGTAGGGTCTTCGTGTCAGGCATGTGTTGTGGTGTGATCTATCTACAGTAATTAAATGGTAAGTGCTAATACGAATTTCGTTTGTGTACCCAGCAAGCCTAATCATACAGTCCACACAACTTTAATTTACCAGAGCAGCTGGTTTTAGTATTGTAATTATTAATTTAATGTCAGGTCTAGCTTTTTGTGTGAGTGGTGATGAAGTGGGCATCGAGGGAGTTACAGCCCTGCGACCTACTGTGACTTTAGTTCCACTTATCTTACCCAAATTACTTGCCTGTAATAATTCAGGTATTACCCTGTAGACCTCATGCAGGTAATTTGCTCACATAATAATAATTCACAGATGGGTTGTCTGGTAAACTGAGAAACATTGCCCTATATACTTCATGATTCCATAATTTTTAATGTTGATTATGTTCTTGTAAACTCAAAGAAAAACATAAATGTTGTCTAGCTGAAATAGTAATTGTATATTCATATTTTATTTAAAAAACTAAAGCATTCATTTATTGTATATAAATGTGCGTGAAATTCAGTTGTGTTAATGTTAATTAGATCATTCATTGAATACACACCTGAGGGGAGTTTTTTTGTCAGCGTATATACGGTGAGAGTTTAATTAAATACCTATTTTAGGAATTATAGTATTGGTGGCGATTGAAACGTTTAGAGTGGGCTGAACGACCTTAGTGTGGTCAATCAGGCTATTAACTTATCTATACAGAAATCATTGCTATATACTGTATTATGTTTTAATATATTATAACTACTGTTTATAATGAAGTTATATTTGAATGTTGTCACATTAAACATGATCGTCATATAGCAGTTGACAATACCAATATATCTAAATGTTGACTTATTCTCTCAGAAAGTAATGGAGGAGACTCAAGTACCACATGTATTTTTGACGCTCACGCTTAGAGTTAATACCTTATAGAGTCCTTCTTCACTCCCTGTCTGGACCTTGGTCTCACATTGAATAAGTTTCAACTGCTCTCAGTGAGATAAGTACAAGCTATTATATACGCTCAAATAAATAAACATATCAGAAACCAGACTTTTTACTGGAGAAGAAAGAGTTCTTGGCTCACTG